GCTTTCAGTATCCAGTCACTCCCATGGCTTCCTCCTCTTTTGACGGAACTCTTCCCATCAACACCTTTCTCCATATGTTAACAATCAAACTCTCTTCCTCCAACTACTTACTTTATAGAAATCAGATGGTTCCCATTTTATTGTATCAAAATCTCCTCCATCATGTCGATGGCTCTACTATACCCCGTCTACATCCATTATTCAAAGTGATAAGGTAGTCGATAATCCCGATCTTTCTATCTGGCACACAGTTGACCAACATATTGTTATTAGTTTATATGCTTCTCTGACATAAGAAGTTGTTACCGTCATCGTCGGCTTAACCATGGCGTGGAAAATTTGAGTTGCTTTAGAAGCAGCATAAAACAACTCATCCTTCGTGACCAACTTCGATAAACTCTCAAAGAAGACAAATTCGTTGTTGATTATGAGCATAATTTTAAGCTAATATGTGATAAGTTGAGCACTATCGGTCATCCCATTGATGCTACCGATCAAATGCATTGGTTTCTTTGTGGCCTAGGGCTGTCTTTTGAGACCTTCTCCACTTCTATTCGACCCTCTCGTACACATCTTGCCTTCTCAAATTTACTTTCTAAGACTAAAAGTCATGAATTATTTGTCTAGGGTATTCACAGGTTTGCCACACCTTCTATTGCATTTTCAGCCCAATCTTCCCGATCATCACAAAACTTTGTGGTCGTGGTGGTCACTCAACTCATAGGTCTAGTAATATCGGTGGTCGTAGTCGTGGCCATCGACCACCAGATTGTTGTTGGATCTATATGCCCAAGAATCATTATTGAGTGATATTGCTAATAACATATGATCCTATAGGGTCACACATTTATCAAGTTGTCATATTTTGTATATTTATTATTAATATAATTATTCATAAATAATATTAATTCTTGTATTTAATTAGGTAATAATTATTGTTTTGTGAAAATAACAATTAAAGAGAGTATAACTAGTTATTATATCATATATTATACCAAAGGGCCTTCGGCCAAACGGTATGGAGTGACTCTCTCATTTGAGAGTTCATGGGTTCATGTCTCATTTGAGACATAGGTGGTGATAGTTAGAAGTAGATTAACTTACCATTTAAAAAATATCATATGTTATGATTTAATAAATCATGTATAAAGTTTTAGACAATTTGGGATACCATGTCTTAACTATTTATGTGATACACTTATATAAAGGAGGTAAAAGACAAATTTTGTCTTCTTTATCTTGTACGGCCGGAACCTCTTTAGAGGCATGGAACTTGCTTGTTAACCTCCATACTTTCCCTCCTATGTTTATTCTACTATCCATTACTTTGGAGTATTTTAATGGGTAGGATTTACTTTGCATGGGGTATTTAAAGAAGTGTCTTGCATTAGTTTTTGGCTAGTCGTATGGGGTATTTAAAGAAGTTTCTTGCATAAGTTGCATGGTGCTTCATCTTGGCTTTCTTTTGAAGACTTCTTCCAACTATTGCTGATGTAAAGTGTTTCTCATTTAGTGTTTATTTGAGTTAAGCACTTAAAAGATTAAGACATACTTTATACAAGAAGGAACTAGGATTCCAAGTGCCTTATTGTGATAATGGATACTTGTAGAGAATATCATGCTCTTTGATCTTTCTATCTTAATCAACACCCCAAAGCCAAGTGGGTTCAAAGGCTCCAAAGGTTATCATTCTAAAACATTTTTATGGTTTTTTTAAATATCATTCTAACTTATATAAATGTGTCCTAGATGGTTTGGTTTTGTTGTAAAAAAATAATCTTGTTATTTTTTAAAGCTTTAGTTATCAATTTTTATGAAAACACTAATTTATATTTTGTATCAAAACACATCAGTTGTCTCAAAACTATCTTTTATATTTTATAATAGTTTTTTATGTTTAATAATATTTTGTTTTTGGAAATCAAACATGAATTTCTTTTGGTTAAGAAATATTCATATTTGTCTTCTTTGGTAACTTTTAATTTTTTTTTTTTATATATAGTCATTTTTCATGCATTTTTGTTATATAAAATTTGTCTTAGAAAAACACAAAGTTGTTTGTTATTATATTTGATATGGTGTTGTGTATAAACAAGCTATTTGGACCTTTGTGTTATGTTTGGTTTATATTTATTTATTCCAAAAATGTAATAGATAAATATGTATTTTTTTTTTCATTTGCTTATTTGTTGTAATAAATTAGTTAGACTAGTTGTATTTTTTTTTAAGTGTAACAAGATGAAGAAATGAACATTTTGAAGATGACTTAACCACTTGAGACCATAATCTCAACTATGAACTTATATTATTGGTTTTGGGCTTAATTATACTCTTAATGGTTTAAGTTTTACCACTTTTACAACATGAAGACATGAAATTATTTTTGTAAGCAGGAGTTATTTTGGTAAGTGGGAGCTTGAAAACTTTTTGAAGTGTCCCTTAAGTCCTTTAGGAAAAACTTAATAATTCTTGCGATGTCTCACAAAAATTATTACTAGACATGGCTTGGTTTATATATATTTTTTAATGCATGTGTGTGAAGTTTATTTTTTGTTATTGTAAGTTATATTTTATGTATGAAAATTATTTGATTAAAAATTATTTAAAAGATAACATAAATTGTTTATAAATGACTATTTATAAATTAAAAAAAATTTACTACTTACCGGTTAAAAATTGAATTTTTTTGTTAAAAATAGTTTTATTATAAAACTTATAGATAACCAACCTTAAAATATTTGAAATTGTTTAAAAGGTCTTTAAACATTATACAAACTCCATGTATTTATAATAAATAAGGAGTTTTATTAAAAATACTAAAATCGGTTTATAATGTTATAACATCAAATAACAAAACTAGTGATTATTTTTAACGTCAAAACTGAATATATGATATTAGTGTTTTAAACAAAGCACAACATGTTGGTTTTATGTTTTATTCATGCCAAGTGTGATTTAAAACATAATTATCATCACCTAAGTTTTAGTTTATCAAAACATGACTTTTATCATAAGATATATAAAATTGAGTTTATCAATTAAAATGAGTTTATTTTACAAATTCATAAAGTTTGAAGATTTTGATTATTAAAAGAGATTTAAAATTATTAATTTAGAATTCATCCAAAACTCCAAGTCTTAAGTATATAAAATAAAGTTTTATTAAGACTATTACAGGTTCTTAAGCGGTCTACGACTAAACTTTAAAATATTGGATGTTAGTTTACAATTAATCGTGACTAATGGTAAATAAAATGAAGTTTATTTGGAACGTTAAGAATCTTATAACAAGTGATATGATTTTTACGGAAGAGTACATGAATTGTTGGATGCATGCAATATAAACTAGGTGGGGAACCCCCGCGTTGCGGGGGTCGGATGCGATAGGTTTTTCAGCAAAATTGAAATATGAATAAAATAACTTTACATTTTAAGAATGACTTTTAAAAAAAAATTAAATTCCTATTTTTTACATATTCATTTTCACTATAGGATGTAAAAACTTTGTTTTTTATTTTTATTTTTATATATATTTGTTTAAAAAAACAAAAATTACACCTTAAGGAAGTGAGCTTTCCATTATTGGTGGACTTTGTGTAGATGATGTCTTAAAGCTTTTGATATGCCTTTTAACATCTGATACAAATAACCCAAAAAAAATCGACATAAGAATAAATATGGTGCCATAATTTACATAAAAGTAAGCATTTCATTAAAATCTCCCCAAATCTCATAGCTACTCGTTTTACTCAAATGCCCCCAAATCTCATTGCTACACGTTTTACTCAAATTTATTTTGGTTCCAAGAATAGTTTGGAAGGAACTGGAATTTGTAGGGTTTGGTTTGGCATATGAAGGAATTGGAATATTTTCATGCATTTGGTTGGCAAGCGAAAACAGGTGTTCGGTGAAAAGGGCATTTGAGTAAATCTAATGTTTAAATTCAAAGGCCAAAGGATTTTTTTTGGATTCCAATGTAATTTAATTCCATACGTAAGATTGGAGTGGAATTGAATGCATGGAATCTTAGTCTTCTCTATGCCATATTTCTTCAAAACACTTAAAAGCCTTGGATACTTCTTCATTCTATGCAAGCTAACAAAAAAAAAAGGAATTATTTTTACTTATTATTCTTCACACTTTTAGGTTAACGGATCAATAAATCAAAAGTGAATCTTGAGGTTATGTACCAAGCTGGTATTTTTTTGCTGTCACTTTCTAGAGCTTGCTAGCTGGCCAAGACCAGAGGAACTTCATTTCCAATAGCAATACCTACTATATGTGTTTTGGACTTCCTCCACTACTAGAAAAACAGCCTTTTACGACGCTCATTGCGCGTCGTAAAAGGCTCAAACGACGCGCAAATGCAAATCAAGGAAGGCCCTGTCATAAAGAGAGACGATACGCTTTTGCGCGTCGTCTATAGACGACGCGCATTTACGACACCCAATTACGACGCACGTTTACGACATGCAATGCGTATCAAGGAAGGCCATGTCATAAAGGAAGAAGACACGTATTCGCGTGTCGTAACCTTACGACGCGCTTGTTAATGACACGCAATGCGTATCAACAAAGCCCCTGTCAAGAAAGGCCATGTCATAAATGAGGATGACACACATTTTTGCGTATCGTAAATTTAAATGTTAAAAAAATTATATATTTATTAAATTTTAAATTAAATTTGCATTTAATTTCTCATAATAGAAATAAAATACCATATACAAAAAATACAATCCATTGCATAATATAAAATAAAATTTCATACTAAAAAAATAAAATAAATTGCACAAGTTATAATGTCATACAAAGAATCATTCAAATGTTAAACAAAAATAATACATTGCTAACATGGGTACTACTTCTTCAAGTCTTGATGAATAGTTGTTGCGCCTCTAGATAAATCAATCTGTACATGTCTTATATATCCACCAACCAAATATTTATATTGTAATTTTAAACTAACTAATAACTATATCATATATTCAAATCAAATGGAATTACCAACCATGAACACCAATAGGCCAATGCAGAGCCTTAGTTGCAACATCGAGGCGTTGCAGAATTGTTTGCTCTTCCTTCATTATATATATTGAAAACCCTACACAACACAACACAAAGATATTAGCCACTTTTTTTGCATCAGAAAAGAAAATGACCTTAACAAACTTGCCATATCAAGAGAAGTCATGAATGACCCTTTATACACTCTACCAACAGCTACTCCATGTTTCTAGCTATAAAATAGGAACAACCTTTCCAACAGCAATCATCAGCTCCATTACAGGTGTTCCCCCTAATCTGAGATTTACAATTTTCAAATCACAAATCCAATTTGTCAAAAAGAAATACATAATTAGCATCTTATTTACTTTGAAAAAGATAAAACAATATGCATATAGATACCTTCTGAGTTCTGACTTCCCTTAAAATGTTAGTAAATGAGAATTTTGAAAACTAGTTACCTTATTGATAAAATTGAATGTTGAATGATTAAGTAGTTTAAATAAACAACTTAAATTACCATTTTAACCCTTTAAAAGAAGAGGGAGGAATTGGGAGTGTTCACATACCTTCTTCCCTTTTACAGACAAACCCCTCTCCTTTAGAAGTGCACGCAGTCGAGAACAGTCAAACTTTGTAGATTTTCTGGTATTTCTGATTTCAATACGTCTGCATGATGTAAAATCACCACTACTAAGTAAGCAAGTATGATCATTTAACCGTAAACGTATTAATTAAAAAACAAGCTTGCCAGCATATAACCTAACACATAGATCAACATATAGTGTCTTATAATCAACTAAAAAAATTAACCTAACATTCAGTGAACCTTGATATCAATATAAATAATAATAAAAAAGAAAGAAGAAAAATACTAGAAAAGGATAAATAAAATCTTTTTATTTGAGGTGAGAACAATTGTCGATTAAAACTGAAGTAAGGATGATTATTTAAAATTTTCAAAAAAAATACTAAATTTGCAATTCTAGTAAATTATAGGGATCATATTTGTAATTGCTATATTACTATTTTTTTTACGTACAATATAATTCAAAGAAGAAAATCAGGGTATTGTTGTCTTTTGACAAAACGCAGAGATATCTTGATTTCCGATTTCCTGATTTACTTTCACTTCAAAAGGTAAACTTTTTCTATTTGTAAATTGATTTTTGTTTTTTGCTTGATTTCCAGATTTCCTGATTTCATTCTTTATCAACTAATCAGTAAATTGGTTTGTATTATTCTAGTGTTATTGAAAGAATGTATGAATAATAAAATTGACGAGGGCCTTTTTATTATCGCAAAAGTAATGAAAGAAAAAATTGACAACTACTTTGGCGATATTAAAAAAAACGAACATCTTTTTATGGTGTTTTTTTTTTATAGATTTGCATCCAAATTGGTGCAAAGTTAATCTAAGATCAGATGGAAGGGAAATTGTAAACATAAAAATAAAGAATATTCCAGTCGCAACAAGTTATAAAAATAAAGAGGAAAAGAACAAGAAACATCAAACACGTACTCCTTGACATGGGTGGAATTAGCTTCGAAGAAAAAAGGTTTTGGCGTTCATTAAGGACTTTCCTCAAACAAGTCATGGACGACTAAATTAACAACATCAACAGGTTCAGCCATAGTCGTGAACAAAGAGCTCCATATCGCAAGAAAACAGATGTTAAAGCATCATGAACTATTTATAAACTCTTAAGGGAAGAAAAGAGTGAACCTGCGGTTAAACTCCATGAATCAGCAACAATAATCAACTGATATAGTACTCAAAGAATGTATCATGAACTAAAGACAAACAAAAAGATTAAAATTCGCATGAAATTATGAAATGACTTTAGGTGCCTTACTATTTATAAACGAATATCAGTACAAATACTAGAGAAGACTTTTCTGAGGATTAATTACCATAGACATTGTTATGCCTTCAAGAACCTGACTATGCAGCAAAATATCACGGAAATTCACTGGTGATACACCAAGATCAAAGTCATAGTATAGCTCCTGTCAATCGAGAAAATAAGTGATGGATAAATAAGCAATCAGATTACATGATGCATTGGTAAAAAAATCACATAAAGCAACTGAGAAAATCCAACTAAATGTGGTCTTCTATGTTCTAGTAAGATTCCAAAGCCTATATTTTCTCACATGCAACATCTAGATTTCCAGGCTCATATGTCACTGTGCACAATTCAGAATACAACTCCATTCCGTATGCAACCATGACAGTTGACAGCTGCATAAAATAATTCAACACATTAGCAATTAACAACTAATACTAATAAGAACAAGTACCAATATGAGCAATTTCCAAGTAGCACTTGGTCCATGTTGGGGGTCAATGGTCTAGATAAAAATAAAACAGTTGATGATACTGATGTAATAAAATAAAACATGTAAACACTGATAAGAACTGGCATAGTATAAATCCATCCCGTTCTTTAGCAAGAATTATTGGATGCTTAAATGGGTGCTCAAATCATAGAAAAGTTGCATCATAACAAAAGGTGTAAGTTTATTTGATCCATCATAACAAGATATTTGCTGAATAGATTGATTTACCTCATCCCAATAGGAATTGTCCATTCAAAGATAAACTGCTAATATGATACATCCAGGCTGAATATAACTTTCAATATCAGTACGACTGTGTAATAACCAGTCAAGAATCTGAAATTTACACAAAATTAGTTAAACCTAATCCAGTAATAATAATTAATAACCAAAACCCAAAGTCTACAAAACTATGATTCTGGAGAACAAGAGGCAACTCATTAGGATCTTTTCCAAATAGCTTGAATACAATTCGGTCTGTACGACTCTGAAAAAAATCTTAATGAAGATATAAATAAAACATGGTCAAGAGGCAACTCATTAGGAATTGGACAAGTTGTTTGGGTTATTTTCAATGTTGGGGTTGATGAGGGTATTCATGCCTTTTACACAAACAATTATAAAGATAAATTTTATACTTCTGGTTCCCTACTGGAACTAGATGGTGACTGTGTTCGGGTGCCTACTTGTTAGAAAAAGTACTCGTCTGAGAGTTGAAAACCAACAAGATTCAAGTTGTTAAAAGTCAAAAACATACTATAAAAAATAAACTAAAAATAGAATAGAAAAACAAAAACTAACATCTACCATTACTTGGTGATTTCTTGATTAAAATAACATCACACCATCATTTTACATAAATAATACTCGTGATTAATAGGAATAACCGGCTATCTGAAAAAGCAACCTGAGAAAGCAGATCTGCAGCTATGTGAACTGGACTAGCATATTTGTCATCAAGCTCAAGAACTGCAGATAGCCCTACAGGCATGTCAATGGATACCTTAGCCTCACTGTTCTGTCAGGTGTCAATATACAAAAATAGTTAGGTTTTTTATATGAAATTTGTTCAAATTTTGATTTTTTTTTTCACACATGGGATCACATAATTGGAGAATCATTTTTGTAGCCATCACATACTGATTTCCAAGGCCATAAATCTTCTCGACCTTAGGACACCATGTTCAAATCAATGTTGTTCAATTTCATCTTTCGAACTCTACCCTCCATGCCATTATTAGTTTCAATAGGACTGGGAGTTTTGTTATATTTGACAAATATGTGATCTGGAAAGCAGCTGGAGTTCCTCTATCCACCATTGAAGGATTCACATATCAATTCTAATAATTCACAGTGGTTGACAATTCATGTAACTCCCTGTTAGATGAAAAAAAGAAAAGTCCACAGAGTTAGATGGGTTGGATTATTTCGATTATGATTACTTAATATTTTCACTGAAACTAATCAATTGACATGAGCAAAAAAGACAATCTAATTACTAATAAGGAATACCATAACTTAAACCATGAGGAATCGATTTCATAATCCAAGAAGCAAAAATTACAAATCAACCATAGTGCCAAACACCACTAAATAAAGTGGAAGCAAGAAAGAAGAAAAGAGTGGAACGCTACTAACCATTACTATGGTCAAGCGAGTCAGATAAGAAAAAAATTGAACTCGATTAGCTTGGAGAGGAGCGTGAATGAAGACTAGTTATCGCTTTTACCTAATTTCCAGATTTCTCTCATGTTTCCTCGTCTTCTGTTAATGATGTCTACACTCCATTGCAATCAGTGTCTTCGTGATTCCGAAGGAAAGATACAAGATCGATTCTAGCTTTGCCCAAAAACCCTAGCTTCTGTGGCCCTGTGAGCATTCATTGACAAACGAGACCCTAACCCTTTGATCATGGTGACCATAACCCCTTCAATTTCAATAGGAACCGAAACCCAAGTTCCAGAAATAGTTGATTTTGTTGCCCTATGAATGTAAAGTGTTCAATTTCTTGTGAGAAATGAAGCAATAAGGATCGATCTATGGAGGATGTGGGTCGTAATTTGAGGGATGAAAAAACCCTAATTTGAGGATGTGGGTCGATTTCCTGTATGCAAAGCCGACAGGGTGCTTATAAAAAGATTTGAGAAGCATCTGAGTCAGTGTTCTTATCAAAGGCTTTGAGAAGCATAATAAGTCGTAACAACGATAAGTGCATTCTTCATGTTTCTTTCTCTTTTCATCTCTACCTCAGAGGGAGACTAGGGCTTGAAATTCCTTGATCTTCAAAGAGACACTAGAGCAGAGATCCGATGGGACGATTAACACAAGTAAGGTCAGGAGTAGGGGAGAAGCGGATTGGAGAGGAGGGAGAGGAGAGAATCGATTGTGAAGATGAAAGATAGAAAAAAGGTAGAAAAGAACAAGGCGGGTTTTCAAAATTTTTGGGATTTCATTTCCCCTATCTACTAAACACGCGTTCATTAAACTTATAAAGCAACACTCACAGAGGATGCGTGTTTAAGATACGGTGCCTTCCGTGTTTTTAATTTTTTTTTCTTATAACACTAAATCAAGGGCACACAATAATGCGTGACCTAAATCCTTAAATTTTTTGAAGAGATGACACTTTTTTAATGTTACTCTCTTTTGCGTAACATAGATCAATGAGTGTCATGGTTTGTGTGTCGTAAAAGGGTCTTTTTTTTGTAGTGCTCCCTGCAAAGATTAAGTTACATATATAGGGCAAAAGGATCCTTACTCCCATGTGGTTTTAGTTTTGACCTGCTTTTCCAACACAAAATATCCCAATCATCTGAAAACTAAAAAATGGGACAAAATGAAGTGAAAATGGTAATTCTGTCCAAATCCTAGAAAAACTAAAAAATGGTCAACTAAGGTGGTCAAGCTGTACCTAAATAACAAAAAATAACAATTATAAAAAACAAAAACATTTTCATTTATTTGTGTCATACTTTCATTCCTTTGAAAAATCTACTATAGCAATTGTATCAGTTTTTACTTCTGTAAATGGGTAGATTCGTCATTTGTCTACAAATATGATGATATCATCAAGTATGTTGCTATTTCTTACCCTCCTAATAAACCAAAATACGTTACTTGAAAGTATTATGTTATTTGAGACTGAAACTTTATCAAATGTCTATAATCATATGTTGTGATTTTTTACTGGAACTTCATCAAATCACCACAATACCCTCGGTCATATTTTGTGATTTTAGACTAAACCTGTGTTAAGCTACTAAAATGCGCCTTGGTCATATTTTGTAGTGAAACTTCCAAAAAAACAAAGAAAAAATGTTTCATACCTTCTTCACATTCTCGTTTCAGGGCATATTTTTAACAAATAAAACATATCTAGCTCAATAATGATTGTCAACAAACCTGAATTTTTTTTTTGAAACAATACTTAGTACCTTCAAAAGAATCCAAATTGTAAACAACCAATGTGGTGGAAAACAAAACCCAAAAGGGAGAAATCATTTCTCTGTGGCTATCTATTCTAAATTAAACATACAAAAGAACACAAAGCAGGTAAAGAAGTCCTCAAACAATTCATTTGAGAAGGATAAAGTGCTTTTTCCAATCAGGAAGCAAGGTTTGTGTTATATATGTCCAATAATGTTGGTTTAGTTCGTCAAATCACCACAATACCCCGGTCATATTTTGTGATTTTAGACTAAAACTATGTTAAAGTAGTAAAATACCCTTACTTATATTTTCTTATTTCAGACTAAAACTTTGCCGAATTACTACAATGGCCTAGTCATATTTTGTAGTGAAATGTCAAAAAAAAAAAAAAAAAAAAAAAAAAAACAAAAACAAAAACAAAAACAAAAACAAAAACAAAAACAAAACAAAACAAAGAAAAATGTTTCATACCTTCTTATCATTCTCGGTTGAGGGCATATTTTTAACAAATAAAATATATCCAACTCAATAACGAACCACAATAGCAACAAACCTGGAAAAAAAAAGTTGAAACAATAATCCAAATTGTAAACAACCAACGTGCAGAAAAACAAAACCTAGAAGGGAGAAATCATTACTTCCATTTATTTGTCACTTTTATATCTTCTTATAAAATCATTGAAGAAGTACATTGTCTAAATAAGGGAAAAAATTGAGTAGATTATGCAATTTTTTTAGAATATAAAGAACACTGTTAACTGGTTTTTATGCTAGTGGTTGAAGCAATGTTGCTTTTCTTATAATTTCAAAAGTAACAGGGGCATCTCTGGAATTTTGATAATAAAAAGGAATTCATAGAATTACTTTTGGCAGTTCAAATATGTATAGTTTGTTTGTTATTTTTTTCTTTTGAGGTGTTAATTTATTTTTCTGCAGCTGCTCAATATTGAAGAGGTTTAATAACATCGTTTAAATACCAATAAAACCGATTTGGGTTTTTGATGTGGTGGGTATGGTGTCACCTATCCTTGCATCTGATACTAACTTATTGAACCTGATATGTATTATGTATTGAAAGTTAATTAAGCATTTTCCGTATCAAAGATTAAGTATTAACATCATAAAAGCTCAATATCTTTCCTGAAATATAAAATGCCTACCAAAAAGGTTAAAAAGGGACACAAAATAGCAACAATTGTGATGAAACAGATGATGTAAAACCTGTAAAACCAAGTTCCTATCCAAGTTTTTTACACTTTATGGGGTTTAGATCAAGTGTTTCTTCAACTTGGGACTCATCTTCTTCTACTTGACCTGTAATAAGCAAGAACCACAACTGAAAATAAATAAAATAACCAAAGTAAATGCAAAGAAAAAGAACATTATACTCGTATAAAAAATATGGTTTATGAATGTGTAAAATCCCCTGCCGATCATCTGATATAGGAGGAGAAGTTGAGGTTAGTAGCCATAGAAATGGGTTTGCATTTTTATCTATCGAGCATAAAGGAGATGCAGTGGCCAAAGTTTACTCAGCTGCCCCGAAATTATGGTGTCATTTGTTGCAGGTATAAAGGAAGAGTTAGGATTTAGGAACCTCTTGTTCTCCCTGAGAAGAAAAAAAAATCAAAAGAAAATAAAGATGAAGAGTAAATTGATAAAATATAAAGCAATCATCCCATATTTCTAAAGTAACAATCGACGATAATGGCAGAAGCAAAACCGAATACCTAATATCTCATGTCGATTTCTTTTAGTTTAGTAATCTTGTTAAACACCAATAGAGGGTAAGTAAACAGTGTTTGACGATTAAAAGAAGGAGACGAATGAAACCAAGAAAAAATCACTTATGGGGAACATATTTCTATACCTAATCCTAAAGTTAATGAAGCAAAGTTTCTTTGAATCGCCATCACCATATCCTTCGTTAAGTTTGAATCGCCCCCGAGCGGTGGAGCCACCCGACCCTCCGCCTTGCTTACCTTCAATTTACAGAAACAATAAAGAAGACATGGATAAATGAAGAGAATAATAGAAAATCGAAAACTAACCTTGATGAAATTGAAGAAATTGAGGTGTGATTTCCAGAGATCATATGCCAACAATCGGTTTAGGACGTTATAGAAGAAACGTAATACGCGAAATCGAGGTTTGTGCATGCTAAATGAAAGCGATAATTGTGTTGGGTGTAGTTGTCGCTGCTACAGCTGATGAACTCCATTTGCCATCGCCGCTTGTAACATCCGGACTTTTATCAGGTATCGTGTAAATGGTATTTTTGTTGATTTGTGAGGGGGACTCGGCGAGTTGGAGCTCAGACTCGCCGAGTAGAGATGCGGATTTGGGCGAAGAATCGCGCCTGGACTCGGCGAGTCCAGGATATGGACTCGGCGAGTCTGCGCTGAGTAATGAAACCCTAAATTCTCGGGTTTGAGACCTATTTAAAGGGCCTTATGGCCGTCATTTGTGCTCACCCAACCCTTAGAGAGAAACCCTTGAGTGCTTGAACGTTTTGAGAGAGAAAGGAAGCATTTCTTGACCTTGTGTGTGTCATTTAGCAAA